TGTCTAGATGATCTGTCCAGAGGAGATAGTGGAGTGTTGAGGTCTCCAACAATTAGTGTGTTGCAGTCTATCTCTCCTTTTAGATCTAACGGTCTTTTCTTCACATATTTGGGTGCTCCTGTGTTAGGTACATAGATATTTATTAGTGTTATATCTTCCTGATGGGTTAACCCTTTTACTGCAATATACTGCCTGCCTTTGTCTCTGAATAGTTTTTGTTTTAAAGCCTATCTTGTCAGAAATTAGTATCACTACTCCAGCTTTTTATTTGGTTACCATTTGCATGAAATACCTTTTTCTAGCCCTTCACTTTTACTCTATGTGTGTCTTTATCCATGAGATGTGTTTCTTGTAGGCAACAGATAGAGGGTTTCTGTTTTTTTCATCCATTCTGCCAATCTGTGTCTCTTGATGGGAGAATTTAATCCATTAACATTCAATCTTATTATTGATATTTCTGGACTTGTCCCTACCTTTAAGTTGGTCATTGTCTTGGTTGTCTTTTATTCCCTTATTTCTGGCTGTTCACTCTTAGTTTTCCTGGAATAGGACTCTCTTCAGAGTATCTTAAAGAGCTGGTCTGGTGTTGGAATATTCTTCTAGGTTTTTTGTCTGAGAAGATTTTAATCATTTTTTCCCATATGAAGGATAATCTTGCAGGATATAATAATCTTGGTTGAAATTGTTTCTCTCTTAGCACTTTCAATATGTCTTCCCATTCTTTCCTTGCTTGCATGATTTCTGTTGAAAGGTCCAGAGGTAGCCTGATGGGATGACCTTTGTAAGTCACTTGTCGTTACTCTCTTGCCAATTTTAGTATCTTGTCTTATCTGTGGTCTTTGCCAGTCTGGCTAAGATGTGCCTTGTGGAAAATCTTCTTGGGTTGATTCTATTCGGAGTCCTTTGTATTTCTTGCATCTGGATGTGTGAGTGCTTCTTTTGACTTGTAAAGTTTTCTTCTAGGATTTCATGGAATAGATTTTCCATGCCCTTATTAGTTTCTTCACCTCTTGGGATACCAATTATTCAGATGTTTGGATGTTTAATGAAGTCTAATATTTCTCATATATTATCCTCTTTTTTTGTTGTTGTTGTTATTTTCTCTACCTTTTGGTGGTCTTTTCTAGGTGACAGATTTTATCTTCTACATCAGAGATTCGATCTTCAGCATTGTCTAATTGACCTTTAATACTTTCAAGAGAGCTTTTAATTTCCTGTATTACAGACTTCATCTCTAATAGTTCCATCTGATTCTTAGAGTGTCAATTTCTTCTATCATATTGTGGAAAGACTTCCAACATAACTTCAAACAACTGGATTAGAAGCAGGACAGTAGTAATGAGAGTACAACAGGACCACATCTTGATTTTATTTAGTAATACTGAACAAGTTTTTAACTCACATGAGTGTGTAACTTGATAAATGCTATCTGTACCAAAAATAAAACTTTTTAAAACAAATACTGAATGTTAAGTATCCTCTTGATAAGGGTTTTGCCACCTAGAGCACACCCTCGGCCTGAAGCATGAGCCCATGTGATGGCGGCGAAGCTCTGCATAACCTGCACCAGTCAGGCAGGAAGCGCCTCCCTCGCTTGGGCCCCACTCTACCTGGGTCTCCCGGGGAGGAGCAGGCCAGTCCTGGGAGCTGAGCACGTGCGTGGGCGAGCAGCACACTAAGCCATCCTAGGAGTCCTTGCTCTGGGACGGCTCCACGATTTGCAAACAGCAGTCCATAAACTCCAAAAACAAGGGCTCCTGCATGCAGGCCCTCATTAGCTTCGCTTTGTTGTCCCCCTGGTCCAGGCTGACCATCAGCTGTCGCAGGTGGGGATTGAGCCGTAATGTTCTTAATGTTGCAGAGTCCTCTAAATTCTTTAAATTCTGCAAAGAAACTCTGTCCTCTTCTTCGTCACTATTGAGAAAATCTGCTATGGAGTCATCGTCATCTTTGTTTTCCACAGACTTTACAGTTTTTGCAGGTAATTTTTTCTCAACTGGACGAGTTCCAGGGTTGCACTGTTCTCTGTGAGTCCGGAAGCAGGTCACGGAGCAGTAGGGCACGCAGCAGGTCGGGCAGCGGTACTTGGGCTTCTCCAGGCAGACCACGCAGACCAGGGAGCTACACTTCAGCAACGCCATGACCTCCCGCAGCTGTCCCCGCACTGCCGCACGCCCGCCCTCCCGTGTCTTTTCTATTTCAGCTCATAGAATTTTGTCACCAGGAATGTGCTAAATTCTTTCTCTGACATTTTGGTAACATCTTCTGTTTTTTCAAGAGAGCGAGAGAAGTTATTCTGTTATTTTGATGGAGACATATTTCCTGGTTTATTCAGACCCTAGGCTCTTCATCTACTTCTAGCCATGGAGAGATGAATTCCTTTTTGGATACCTTTTTGGAGAATGTTTCTTGACTGGGAATAAGTGTGCTTCCCTTTTGCTGTGGACTGATGTGTGCTGAAGTCTCTCTTCTGCTGTGCTTTGCAATGTGTTCTACACAGGAGGAGTTTTCTATTCAGGAATCTGAAGAGCAGTCTCTCCTTTTTCACAGGTGGTTAAGTAAAAGGGAGGTTCCCAGGGAGCCTCACAATACCAGGGTATTTGAAAACTGTGGTTCTAAACCTGTCTAGCCCCTTATGATGTGTGGAGGATAAGCAGGAGATGACAATATAAGGCGGAAGAGAAAAGAGTATGAAAGAGAATAAAATAAATAAAGATGGAAGTGGGCTCTGCTGGAGAGCTGGGGACAGTCCTGTGGGGTAAGGATAAGAGGGAAATTAACAAAAGAAAGAAGAGAAGAAAAAAAAAACCTACCTTGCTAACAGAGAGAGAGTCTCTGGGGTTAGGGGGACAGGAGCTGAAGCTGGGGCTGGGAAGCCCTGCCTCAGTGTCCCTTAGGCCAGGGGACTGGAGATGGAAGTGGCTGTACTTTGCCTATAGTATAAATTGAGTATTTATTGAATAACTAAATGCTATTAAATGGTTACTTCATGCCAACTATTAGTCTAAACTTTTTAAAGAAATTATGTCTTTAATCTTTACAGCAACATCATAAGGTAGACATTACTATTATTCCCAATTTTATTTTTTAAAAAATTTGCCAGAGGGTACATGTGCTCTTCAAAGAGAGAAGAGAAAAAGGAGATAGAAAGAGAGAGAGAGAGAAAATAAGAAAGCTCCTCTTATGGGTGATGGCCATGCTGGAATCTCTTTTCCTTTTCTCCCTCCTTTTGGGATTTTGGGGGATATACACATATGTGCTGGCATGTTTTTCAAGTTGATGGGCCCAAGATTCAAACTGCACAGTCACCCACATGGGATCCAGCTGCTTTTTTTTTTTTTTCTTTTGAAGAGGTTTTTGTTTGTTTGTTTGTTTGTTTTGCTATAGGGCACATGCACTCGCCAGACAGAGACAGAGAGACAGAAAGTGAGAAATCATCCCCCAGGGGGGATGACCACACCGCAATCCCTTCTCCTCTCGTCTTCTCTTGGGATCTTGGGCATGCACGCACAAGTGCCCAACATGAGTTTAAGCCACCAAGTCTGAGACTCGAACTGTGTCGACTACATGGGAGTCCAGCGACATAGTCATTACGCTAACTTCTGGTCCCGGATCCAGCTGCTTTAACCACTAGCACTTGATGACACTGTTATTGCCTATTTTTAGGTGAGAAAACTGAGGCACAGGATGTTAAGTAATTTGCCAAAGGGCACATAACTTGTGCCAGAATTTGAACTCAGGGTCATTCTAGACCGCCTGCTAAATCACACACTACCCTGCTTTTGTCATGACATGGACTTTATATGAAGAGGAAAACTCCAAAGAACTCAAAGTATGGTACTGAAATGTGCAAAAAGTTGGAGAGATCTTAGTGTGAAGCCTTTTATTTAGTTCCTTTTCCTACTTTGTTGGGGAAGTAGAGAGGAAAGTATAAAGAGAAGGACAAAGAATGTTAACAGCTGAAAGGCATTCTAACTGGCAAAGCCAGGTTATGTAATCTTTAACATTATATAATCTTGAAAACTATTTTTAAATCTGTGAAATGAACACAAAGGGTGGGATAAAGAAAATAACTGCAAAGTGGGAAGAAACACTATATCATATTATATAAGCTTTGGGTTATATTTTATCCTAAATAATTGATCACTTTTAGTTTAAAAATCATATAGGCTAATGTATACAGTCTAAGGCTAAAATGTCTGACTTCTGACATCTCTGTCATTGGAAAATAAATTAGGAACATTTTCCCAGAGATAGTAGAAGGAAATCACTAAGTTCTCACCAGAGGAGCAATGTTGCAGAAGACCCCTTCCCCAGGAGAGTAGATATTTTTTACTGGGTAGGATTGAAGAGGAAGGCAAAGTACCTGAAAGAACAGGGAAGAAGGGGTGGGAGAGAATCCTAAACTACAGAGGAGGGCAAGCATGAAGGACAGAGATTAAATCACAAAAGCTATTCACAGGAAGTTTTCTCTGGGATGGTCACCAGGGCACACAGAACTAATCAGAATAGGTTCTGCTGTGTGTATCAGAAGAATGTAAGATGATAATGACCAATACACAATGGAAATTTATTTCTCCTTGACACAACACCACATCTGAAGAAGAGCAACTGGAGTTCTTGGTGGCTTCATGGGCTTCAGAAGTTTCTCTCTTTCTTTCCTGTTGCTACGTGCTGTGGGTTGACAGCCAGTTCTGTCCCACATGACTCTTGAAGTCTTTTTAGAGGAAAATAGTAGATTTGAGATTGAAAATATTAGCTACTCCTCTATCCTCACTACCAGGTTATATGGAAAGCATGCCTGAGAACAAATTCTACCCTCAACGTGGTTATTTATAAGAAAACATTTATTTGTAATCAAGCATGAGAATAGCATATATAATCTACTCTTTCAACTCGATGATGTCTCAGTTCTCACTTCTCCTATCTCCAATCTATCCTGGCATGAAAAATTCAACCAATGCAGGCATGATAAAATTCCAAAAGCAGGAATCTCTTATCTACATAATTAGCATTAGGCCACCAAGAAGCCCTTAGAACCAAAAACTGGACCTGGGATAATTTAGAGATTAAAAAAGCCTCAGGCACTATTACTAAAGACACAGGCTACAAGCCTCACTGGATTCTTTTGTTCTGTTCATGCAAAGAGAGTATCTCTAAAATATTTTAACCAACTTTATATCTTAAATATATAGTAATTTAACCAATGAGAGTTCTTTTTAGCATTTATCATGCTATTTAGTAGCATAATGTTAACTTCATTTACCCTTAAAAACCCGTTTTTTAAAATTCACTGAGAATAGTACCAAAGAGTTTGGTGTTCACCCAGCTATGCATAAAAGAAACACTTCTGGGACATGAGCTTTTCCATTGGAACATTAATGCAACCTCTGAAGTGTGAACTCACAATTGAAATTTTAGCTGACTGTCCCTGCATTCAACAGTCTAGCTAGGACAAATAATATATATTCATATAATTTAATTGCCATCCTCAAGACATGGCTTGTACTCTTACTTCTACTAAGATCCGATTGGCTGTAACTTGGTAACATGACCACACCTGGCTTTCAGTGAAACCAGGAAGCACAACCTTTATTCTGGGACACTAGGTACCCAGATATGATGGGTATTGCTCCTAGGAAAAATAAATAAACAGATACTTTGTGAATTCTGGAAGTTTTCCTGTGCAGAGAAGGGACTGAGTACAGTTGCTCAATACTTTCACTTGCATTGCAATAAGTAAGTGCTTCTCCACCCTCAGAATGTGGGAAACTTTCCAGGTTTGAGAAATAGTCTCATGATTTCCCAGAAGAAGTGGGTCAGAGTTGAGGCAATGGCTAAAGGCTTAATGGTAGATACATGTGTGAAGGCAAAAACTTCTTCTATCAATTCACTTTTGTTCTAAGTTATGTTAGGCTCTTGCTACTGAAAAGAGTTCATGGACTGGCAACTTTGGTGTCATCTAAGAACTGGCTAAGATAAAGTGCCAGCTCTCAATTCTAATAATATTGCCAGATAATTCTTATGTTCAGTGGTTTGGGAAGCACTGTTTTTGGATGCTTCCCCACTTCCATCACACACATGTATCTGAACATTCTGAAATTAGAGCCAGTGTTTCCCCCAGAAGGGACACTTTGACTAAAGCACAAAAATAAGTCTGGAAGAATTAGTGAGTACTGGTAGATTATAATTTAGATAAAAAATTATTCAGCATTTCATGCAGATTAGCTTACTATTTTATGCAAAAGGCAATTAACATGCACACACACACACACACTTTTTTTTGGGGGGGGTCCTATAATAAATAACCCAAAGAACATATTAAAAGTGAATCTGGTTAGAACTCTAAATTCAATTTCTTTTTTCAACTTTGTCATCCTTTCTGAAATTTTCTTTTATGAAGAAAAATGATAGTAAAGTTGAAAGTCATTGTTTTAAGATGATATATAAACATATTTGTTGTAGTTTTAGAAACTAGTTAGATAGGTGAATACAAAACAAGTCTGTCACTGGTCTGGGAGAGGACAACTATGGCATGGGATCATTATAAATCCAAGACAAACTTCTGTTTGCCAAAGTAAACTACTTATTCACAGAAGATGGGTGGTGCTTATTTGGAATATTATTCTTAATTGCTGTCTTTTGCAATTCAAAAATTTGCTGTCACTTTTACATTTCGTTTAAAAAATATTTTCATATTGAAACTTGGCACAGAAGTTAAAAAAAATTTTCTTCTGGAAATTGATTCAATCCAACCACATCTTTTGGACACCTGAAGGTTGCCTAGCTATGAAGCTTTTACTTTTCTTTAAATTTTTTTAAAATTCATTTTGGAGGGAACATGTAAAGGAATAAAAAGACATGTCTTTACATTTGAGAATTCACATTGGAGGATTATTATAAAAGTATTTTATAACTCTTTTACAAAAGTAGGATTTGTTTAAATGTGTTTATTTTATTCTGGTTGGATATTTTTATCATTCTATACATTCTTTCCCATGATATATCTGATCTATTTGATTTAAAATGAGGAGAAACTAGCTTCAAAAGTCAAGGTGCATATAGAGGACACAATTTCCCAACAGCAAATACAGAAACAGAGTGAAGGCATTGGGTCTTTTTCCTCCTGCTTCCAGAGAATAATGAAG